AGTAGAATCAGAATATGAACAGGGACAAACAGGAAATTGCTCTCTTCTTCTCTTTTCACTGCCAAGATGATGAACAACTGAGATGTAGGATGCCAGGGGAGTAAGAGGTCCCTGGACCTTTCTCTCCGGTAAGATAAGACCACGTGGAAATATTTAGATTTATTAGAAATGGGTTAATTTAGACAGAGCTAGCCAATAAGAAACCATAGCCAACGGCCAACAGTACTCAAAACTAATATAGCATCCATGTGTTTCATTGGGGCAGAGAAAGGCAGTGGGACCTGATGGGCCAGAAAACTCATGTTACATTGTACCATCTGCCCAGGCATCCTGGGGATGGATTGCCTCTTTTTCTGCCTGGATAACTGGAATGTGGGGGCACTTCTGCATTGTGTAAGTAATCAGGAGAGGATTGGGCATGTGCTGGTCTTGTGTGACTAAAAGGAGTTGAACCCATACCGTCTTGGTTACTGGTCTATTGCTGTGAAGAGACACCATGAGCAAGAAAACTCTTATGAAAGTATTTAATTGAGTGTGGATTTACGGTTTCAGAAGATTGTTATCAACAGGTGGGAGCTTGGCAGCTCTCAGGCAGGCCTGGTGCTGGAGAAGTAGTGTGTAGTAGCTGAGAGCTACATCCTGATCTACAGGGGAGGGAGAGGGGGAGACAGAAATCGACACTGGGCCTGGCATGGGCTTTTGAAACCTCCAAGCCCACTGCCAGTGGCACATCTCCTCCAGTGAAGCCACACCTCCTAACCCTTCCCAGACACCTGACCAACTGGGGACTAAGCATGCACATCTATGAGTCTCTGGGGGTCAATCCTGTTCAAACCACCACAGTGTTGAATGGTCATATACTACCACTCACTACCCATGGATTAATGCTAAAAAGAATTTAAGGTAAACGAAAAGCTCTTAAGTTTGGAGGGGGAGTAGGACATTTTCTTACTTTAGTTTTCTTTCTTTTTAACTATTTATTCCTGTGTCTCTGGTTTCATGTAGTCACAAATGCTCTAGGAGGCTGGAAAAGGACGTTGTGTCCCATGATGCTATAGTGACAGATAGCTGTAAGCCACCTGACATGGGTGCTGGGAACTGAACTCAGGCCATCTGCAAGAAAAGTAGGCACTCTTAGCTTCAGAGCCATCTCTCCAGCGAGGCATATGAAGAGCTCAAGGAACACAAACACAAACTATTTGATCTGTATGAAGGGGTTTGCAGTTCTGACAAGAATTGAGAATAAGATCCCATTGAATATGGGCTCTGATTTTTTCTTAAATACTGATGGGACTTTAATGTCACATATGGATTAATTACTTTCCTGTTACTGTGATGAAACACCCTGACAACTTGTAAGAGGAGGAATCTATTTTGGATTATGGTTCCATGGTACCTTTCACTATTTAAATTTAACTAGATTTACTTACATTTACCCTATTAAGCAGAAATAGAAACTCTTAACTTGTAAATCCTCATGGTAATTTCCAGGGTAAACTGTGTGTGTGTGTGTAAACACACACACACACACACACACACACACACACACACACACATGTTTATTTTGTCCATATGTGTGCAGTGGAGCATGCATGTAGAAGTTTGAGGACACTTTACAGAATTCAATTCTCTACTTCCAGCATGTGGGTTCTAGATATTTGTTCAGGTCATCAGGCTTGGTGGCAAGTGCCTTTACCTGCTGATCCATCTTACAGCCTAACACGGATGTCTTTGAAACAAGTTACTCTGAGGGTATTTTGTGATTTTTAGCTGTACTTCTTAAAAGATTTCCTTAGAATCAGACAGCACCTCCTTATGTTTTGTGTTGGATTACCAAAAACTTATTGTTATCCATATGTGCTCCTTTACCGAATGGTAACAGCATTCTGAGTTCATATTTATAAGCCTGAGAATTAATCCAGAAGCATTAAGTAATAAAGATGTATAACATCTAGGATCTGAATTAGCAGCTTTTCCTGACACAGAGTTTTGTTTTATGGAACATCTACAATATGTTCAAGCCAAGTGGCAGCTTGGAGGAGGGCACATCATCCCAAGGAGGATATATCAACTCCCAAAGCCACACCAGGCAAGGGGCTTCCTACTCAAATGGGGCAGCAGGAGGAATCCAGCCCTACTTGCAATCAGCTTGTGTCATCCAGAATTCTTCTCTGGAAGTTCTGATCCTACCATTGTTTTAATAAGTCATTCTAGATGACAATGCTCCATTTTTTTTTTGACAGAATAAAACAACATACTACTCTTAGGAATAGCTAAAACTCTGGTTTGGTATTAATTTGCTATACGAACCATGTTTAAAGAATCTATTCTTCTATCTTGAGTTAGAATATGACAACTCAATTGGGTAAAGCAGCTGTTTCTGCTCTGTTTTGGGGGAGTCTGGGCACTCTAAAAGGTGCCTAGAGGGACCAAGAGGCCGAGAAGCAGATCTTCCAAGGCTCAATTTCCTGCGTGGTCTGATTTCTCTCTTGACTCTCTTAGTGCCTGGGCTTCTACAAAAAGTGTGAAAGAATAATTTTTGTCTACAAAAGGTTAATGACTTTTAAGGCCTGCTGATCAAGATGTAGAACTCTCAGTTCCTTCTTCAGCACCATGTCTGCTTGCATGCTGTCATGTCTTGCCATGAAGATAATGTACTAAGCCTCTGAAACTGTAATCCACAGTATGGAAGAGTTGCTGTGGTCATTGTTCTCTTCACAACAATAGAAACTCTAGCTAAGATATGCATGTATGCTTTAGTTTCCATATATGTATATAAATGATATGATGTCATATGGATCATATGGAAATTGTACTTGCAAGGCTCTAAGGAATTGCTTTTAGTATTCAGGCATCTGTACTAGTCTGTCCTTGAGGTTCTGACAGGATACGCCCTCAGCTGCAGCCACTAAGGGCACCACCTGTGCACATTCACTATGTTCCCTTTTAAAAGGGCCCTGCCCCCCCCCCGCTCTCTCTCTCTCTCTCTCTCTCTCTCTCTCTCTCTCTCTCTCCTCTCTCCTGCTCCTGTCCCCCAGAGGCCAGTCTCCCCATGTCCTCTGTCTTCTTTTTACCATCTTTTTCCCTTGAATTCTGTCGCATGGCATATTTCTCTCTCCAGCTGCTTTTTTTAAAAAAAAAATTACACCAACTACCCTGTCAGACTGTTTTCCAAAGCAACCCTATCACATCTCAAAACCGCCAGCAATGGCTACATGGCCCAATTTCCCAGTCTCCTCACCAGCACTTCTGTCATCTGCTTTTATGATTACAGCATCCTAGTGGGAGTGAAGCCCTTTCCACACGCTCCAGAGGATGACCCCCTGAACCAACCATACTTCCCTCCAACAGCACTGCATTAAAAGCAACCACAAAATCCAATGGCTTCAACCACCAGCATCCAGTTCTTCCTTTGCAGGGCTGGGCTGGGCATACTTTCTGATTTTATTTCATGTGTCTTCATTCCAGGACTGAGATTGCTTCTGTCATGGTGGGGCATCCGCTCTCAAGTGACAAGCAGAAACACTCTGTGGCCTGGATTGGGCACATGACACTTTTGCTTTCAAATTGTTGTCCAAAAACTTCCTGTCACCAAACCTAACTCCAAGTCAGCCAGTTAGTAAACTTGGCTTGTAGAATCGAAGAGCGAGAGAGTGTAATGTTATGAAGGGAGGAAATGAATTATTGGGAACAACAATCCAGTTTTCCTCCCGCTGAGCTCTTTGCCTCAACGCTACTTAATTTCCTATTTACTAACACAGTGAATCCATCATTACACTCAAATTTCAGGGCATCCCAGATCCCAGAAATTCCATCCCTTCCCTAAATAATACCTTCCCCAAAGTTCTCCATTTGGGAGAATATATTGAAATTGGAAATGATTAAGAATCAGAGTGCTGGATTTCACCGAAGCTGCTCTTTTGTATCAAATATTGCTAGTTGCTACCCAGAATTTATTTGTTTCCTTCATTCTTTAAAAATCACTGATTCCAGGTTTCGTGGAGCTGGCTCAGCCAGTAAAGCACCCGTGAAACAAGTGTGAGAAGCAGGGTTCAGATCCACAGAGCCTTCATGAAAGCTGAGTGAGTCTATTGCTCACCTGTGATCCCAGGGTGCAGAGGTAGGTGGGGGGAACCGCTCCCCAGAGCTGGGTAGACCCCCAATATAAAACGTGGAGAGCCATTAGGGAAATTATCCAGTATTGCTCTCAGGCTTCTAGAGGCTTGTGCACACATGAACCTACACACACAAGTGTATCCCAAACATGTGGATACATGCACACAAAGCACACAGAAGAAATATGATTTGGAGTCAGTTGTGATGGTACATCTTGGTGATAAATTGTTCATGATTTATTAAAGCTTGCTTGAGGATTCAGAAAGCAAAGTCAGCCACAAGTCATAGAAACCAAGCACACATCTTTAATCCCAGCAGCCAGAAGCTAGGAGGTGGTGGTGCACACCTTTAATCCTAGGACTCAGGATGAAGAGGTAGAAAGATCTCTGTGAGTCCAAGGCCACCCAGATCTATACAAGACTGATCCATTCCTAAAGAAAAACAGCTCACACAAAGATAATCTTAACATCTAGGATGACACATCTTTAATCCCAGCATTAGGGAGGTATTTAAGACAGGAGCAAGGTCTCATTATCAGGCATTCATTCTCCAGCCACATTGAGGATAGAAAGTCATTCAGTCTCAGGATTCTCCAGCCATGCTGAGGAGAGGCAGCAGTATCAGCCCATTCAACCTAAGGTAGGGGTAAGAGCTAGTGGCCGGCTGCTTTGCTTCCCCGATCTTTAGCTTGAAACCCAATTATCAGTCTCTGGGTCTTTTATTTTTCATGCAATGGTACATGGCTGGAATCCCAACACTTACAAGGCTAAGGCAGGAGGATCATAAGGCCAGGACTAGACTGGGCTACATAGTGAGTTCAAGATCACTCTAACTTGCATAGTGAGAGCCTGTCTCAATAAACAAACAAGTCCCAGGTGATCAGATTCAGAGTTGTAAAACATTTTATTTGATTTGATTTTTGCAGCCTCTTTTGTCCAGAGCTCAGACTGACCTTGTGGAAATCTGCTGCGGATTTCTGGGCAGGTCTGTTTTCCTTATTTTGCTCATGTTTTGTCTAGTACATGGTTGTTGAACCCCGAGGTGGAATGGCTAGATGAGGCTAAGAACCTGGGAGCTATTCCTCATTCTTGAGTTCCCCTTTCCTGGAGAGATATGGACAGACATCTATTTAGCTTAGATAGGGCATCAGCAGCAGACCAGAGAAACAATTCCACACAAGTCTGGCTTGGGGAACCCATGAGTTTAACTGGGGTCATTTATAGGAACAAGGGTGAGAGGTCGCGCACAGGCAACTAACTTATAGATGGCTACACCTCTAAAAAACAGTCTCCCTCCCGAGCAGTTATTAGTCACTTACATGTCCCTGGGAAGAAAAAGGATTTCACATGTCTCCTGGGCTCCTCCTGGGTTACTCCTCCATTAAAGAATGTTAGGTGGGCTACTCCTATCTTGAGGGTCTCCTGTAGGTAATCGTAATTTAAATTTAAAGACAGCCAACAGCCATATCATGTCTGGAGAACATTTCCCCCACACTCATTCTTCTGGGCTCTGTTTTGTCCTATACTTAGAGGTTCCTGCTGGTCCCTCAGTCACCCAGGGTACCTTGACTGTGCCTATCTTTGAGTTTGACCAATGGAAAGAATGATCTAAGACTACTGAGAAGAAAGATGAAGCTGTCAGGGTACTTCTCACCTCCTCTGGAGCCTCCTCACTGACACTGGTCACACGTTTTCCCAGCCTGGGCTCCTACCATCACATCTCCTCCTCAAGGGCTCTGACTTGCGCCCAGGTTTTCAGCATGACTTCCTCCCTCTGCTTCTTCAGCTCCATGGCAACAACAGCTCTTCGATGTTACTCCTATGTAGGTTCCTCAACACCTCTCTTTGTTTCTATAAACTTGAGAGATCTCTGTACTTAGCCCTTGCATTTCAGTGCCTCACAAGAACCATCTGCAGTGAATTGCTTCCAGCTGCCATCTGCCTAACAAAAAAGAAAACCTCTCTGGTGCATGGTTTCAGGTTTTCATTTCAGCAACTTTTTCTCATAATCCTGCCTTTGCTTGAAATCCCATTGCCCCACCTCTGTGTCTAGCTGTCCTTCAAGACTCTCTTGAGGACTATTACCCACAAGTGGTCTACCATGCACATCCCCCACACTCAACACATACATGACAGTTATTCTTTTTTCTGCTTTACCTTGTAATGACTTACATACATATAACCTTGGCCACCTGACCGCCTTTTGGAATGGGAACCCACATTTAGGTCTGACATGCTTTCATTTCCCTCTTTCCTTTTTTGTTCTTCTCTAGGCTTTGGCTGTTCTCCAAAGCAAGGCTTGACACCAAATAGATGCTCAATCCTTCATTGTTATCATTATTTCCTATTTACTACTTAGTGCTACTTGCTTATCATTACTTCCTGTTCACTACTTAGTTAGTACTACTTCCTGTTTACTACTTAGTGCTATTTCCTAGAACTAGAATATGTTCCAGTTATTATGGATACTTTGCAACAAATACACAAATTTTTCTTTGGCAAGTCAGTGATGCATTTGTTACACTTGAAATAGGCAATATTTGCCTATGATACACACCGATGCCTCCTGGTATCTGCAAAGAACTTTTTCTAGAACTTCCTGCAGATGGCAAAATCTGATGATACTCAAGTTCCTTATAAAATAGTGCATAAGGCTTATAAACACCCTCTAATATTGTTGAAGCATCTCTATGCTGCTTATAATAATACCTAAAACAATGCAGCTACTCTCTAAATACTTACCTAGTTATTATACTATATTGCTTGAGGAATAGTGGGAAGGAGAATGTCTGTATATATTCTGTGCAGATAAAAAAATTCACATTGGGGGGCTGGAGAGATGGATCAGTGGTTAAGAGCATTGACTGCCCTTTCAGAGTACCCAGGTTCAATTCCCAGAACTCACACCTGTCTGTAACTCAGTTCTGGGTAATCTGACACCCTTACACCAATGCACATAAAATAAAATTAAATAAATTATTATTTTTTTGTTTTTAGAGACAGGGTTTCTCTGTGTAGCTTTGGAGCCTATCCTGGCACTCTCTCTGGAGACCAGGCTGGCTTCGAACTCACAGAGATCCGCCTGCCTCTGCCTCTCGAGTGCTGGGATTAAAGGTATGTGCCACCAACGCTGGCCAAATAAATTATTTTTTAAAAAATTCAGATTAGTTGTTGATTGTCAGGATAAGGAACTATTAGTACAGAGGACCAACTGTCTATGGAAGAGGATTTTATTAGTTACTTTTCTGTTGCTGTGGTAAAACACCATGCCCAAGGCAACATATGAAGAGTATATTTGGGATCGTGGTTTCAGAGGAATTAGAGTTCACCATGGGGGAAGCAGGGCAGGAAGTAGTGGGCATGTGACAGGAACAGGCAGCTGAGAGCTCACATCTTTAACCTCAACAAGAAGCAGAGAAAACAAACTGGAAGAATGTAAAGGTTATGATGTCTCAAAACCTGTCTCACTGATTTACTTCCATTAACAAGGCTTTACCTTCTAAACTTTCCCAAATGGTGACCAACTGGGAGCCAATTTTTCAAATACCCAAGCCTACGGGGGCCATTTCTCATCCAAACCATGATTTTATTTATTTAAGAATTTTCCAGTGATAAATTTGATTTTCTTCTAATACTTCCCTTGCGTGTCAAGGAAAAACTCATGTATGCACCCATATCTACCTGAAACTGAAGGTACAGACCTGCAATTCCTGCAACTTGGGAGACTGAGGTAGGAGGATTATAGGTTCAAAGGACATTTGGACTATTGGATGATTTCAAGGCCAGCTGTGCAACCAAAGGAGACCCTGTCTCAAAATGAATGTGGGGGGTGCTTAGTCAAATGCTTCTTTTTATAACAGTTGCCTTGGTCATGGTGTCTCTCCACAGCAATAGAACAGTGACTAAGATAGAAATTGGTACCAGAAGTGGTATGTTGCTATGACAGACCTAACCACGGTGTTTGGAGAAATATGGAATACTTTGGGACTTTGGACTAGAAAAGTAGTTGAATGCTTTTAGCAGGACTTACTGGACCATCCTGGTAGGAGCATGGGAAATAGTGGTGCTGAGGGTGATGTGGAATATTGGGGACCAGGTCAAGAGGTGTGATGGTTTCATGCCCCCCGTAGACATGTTTGAATGTTTGGCCATAGGGAGTAGCACTATTTAGAAGGTATGGCTTGTGGAGTAGGTGTGACCTTGTTGGAGGAAGTGTGTTATTGTGGAGGTGGGCTTTGAGATCTCATATTGTTAGACCCCCAGAAAACTCAGGTATCCAGGGTCCCAGGCCATGACCGCGGTCACCCCAATCACCAGGCGGATTCGAGAGCTTGCTGCAAACAGCATGAGGCTTTATTGTTGTTTTTTTAATGAGCTAACCCCATGTTAGCTCGGGTCTTTCACCCACCCGCCATGGCAGATGGCTAGCAGAGACAACTCCTAGGGGCTTCGAGAGACAGCGTAAGGGGAGTGTCTAGGGGGATGCACAGGCTTACGATTGGTGTGCCTCCAGGCTTGGAGGGCTTGCCCTGTGTTGATTGGTCAACTGGTTGTTATGGTCCATAGGCCCTCCCAGGGTGGCTGCTGTGCTCTGTGTCATTGCTTGTCGGTAAAGTACACCCAGGGTCGTAAAGCATAGCGCCACCAGCTAATTTCTGATTGGTTCCTTGTCACGAGGCAGGCATCTGACTTTCTAGTGTCTAGGACAAGGTCAGACAAGCACATGTTCGGCTGTTATGGCTGCCGAAAGGGGAGCTGGTCCCTTCAATATATGCCCAAGCCATGATCAGTTGGACTTCTCCTTCTGCTGATTGCAGATCTAGATGTAGAACTCCCAACTCCTTCTCCAGCACAATGTCTGCCTGTGTGCCACATGAAGATGATGGACTAAACCTCTAAAACTGCAAGCCAGCCCCAATTAAATGTTTTCCTTAATAAGAGTTGCCATGGTCATGATGTCTCTTCACAGCAATAGAAACCAACTAAGACAAGAGGCTTCAGAGGGAAAGAATATTTATAAGTAACCTAGAAACCAGTCTTGCAATGTTTTGGCAAAGAATGTGGGTGCTTTTGGCCCTGAGGTTAAATTGTAGAGCTTTAGACTAATGGCATTGGTAGAGGAGATTTCAAGATAACTTAATATTGACTGTGTCATGTAGTTGGTTATTAGTGACCACTCTTATGCAGATATGCAACGAAAAGGAGCAAATAGAGCAAGAAAAAATTGCAAACTGTACAGTTTGAGAAGAAAGGGGGCAACAGGAAGTGTTTTGTTGGAGCTAAGTCCTGTGCTAAAGGAGATAAAAAGTTTAAAGAAAAGCCTGATGCTAAAGGGCATAAAGGAAGTGTTGACCTCAGGGCAAGATCCTATCCAGCTAGGCTTCAAACTTGTAAAAAGGAATTAAAGGCAAGTTAAGCAGTGAAGGAACCCTGGAACAAAAGAAAGCTGATGCAAATAGAATTGAAAGGGGGGGAGCAAGTTCCACCCTCAGCAAGCAGAAGAACTTGATAGCTTTGGCCACATGGTTCTGGCTTTAGGGTAAGAGTACAAAGAAGGGATTGTGGAATCTTCCTCCACAGCTAAGGAAAGCCACTGGGACTGGCAATATGTCAGGGGTGTCCCTTCATGCAGGCCCAGAGAGGCCATTGTGTGAAGCTATGAGGGTGAGGCCTGGATTGTGTTGGAGACCCCAAGATGTTAGAGTTGCCAGAGTCATGGAATACCTGCCAAGGAAAGCTGATAACAGGGTATGGAAACAGCCCAAGAGAGAGAAGTGTGTTACAGTCAACAAAACTGGGAGGAGATGGAGGACTAAAGAGCACTTGGATATCAAACATGGAAACAGAATCTAGAGTTTTCCCTGCTGGCCTTTGGTCTTGCTTTGTTACATTATTTTCTCATTTGGAATGGTAATGGATATTCCATGCCATTATATGTTGAAAGTATGGGATCTGCTTTTTTGATTTTGATTTTACAGAGGTTACAGTTAAGGGATTGCCCCCGAGTCTCTGAACTTCTGACTTTTAAACAGTGTTGAGACTGGGAAAGACTATGGGGACTTTTGAAGTTGGGTTAAGTGAATTTTGAATTATGATATGGCTACAAGCCTATGGAGGCCAGGTAGTGGAATGTGGTGGTTTGAATCAGAATGGCCCCCATAGGCTCATACATTCAAATACTTAGTCACCAGGGAGTGAAAATTTTTGATGGGATTAGAAGGGTTAAGAGGTATGGTTTTGTTGGAGAAAGTGTGTCACTGGGTTTTCAAAAGCCTGTGCCAGGCCCTGTCCCTCTGTCCCTCTGTCTGTCTGTCTGTCTGTCTGTCTGTCTGTCTGTCTCTGTCTCTGTCTCTGTCTCTCTCTCTCTCTCCCTCCCTCCTTTCCTCCCTCTGCCTCTCTCCCCCTCTGCATCTCTGCCTCTCAGGATATAGCTCCCAGCTATTGCTGCAATGCCTATTTGCATGTTGCCATGCTCACCATAATAATAATGGATTAAGTTTCTGAAACTGTATGCAAGACCCCAATTAAATGCTTCATTTTATAAGGCCATGGTGTCTCTTCACAGTAATAGAACAGTGAATAAAGTAAGCACCGGTATTCTTAATTGCCCAGACTTTAAGCAAAAAAGATACTCTTTAGTCTGCAAAAGGATCAAATATGGGCACCTCTAGGCCAAGGGTTCTCAACTGGCAGGTTGCTACCTCTTCGGGGGTCGCATATCAGATATTCTTCCTATTAGTGTTTCAGTGTTTACATTGTTACTTATACTAGTAGCAAAATTACAGTTATGAAGTTACAACAAAATAATTTTATGTTTAGTCAGGGGTCACTACAACATGAGGAACTATAATAAAGGGTCACAGCATTAGGAAGGCTGAGAGCCACTACTCTAGACAATGGAATATTATTCAGCAGTGTCAAGCCATGAAAAGACACAGGAGAATCTTAAATGCTTCTAAGTAGTAGAAGAAAATTTGAAAATCTAGAAAAACAAAATCTGAGGAGACAAAAAAAAAAAAAAAAAAAAAAAGACTTTTAATTGCCATGGGTTACTGGGGAGAGAGGCCTAACTAGGCAGACCAAAGAGAAATTTAGGACAGGGGAAACTATTCTGCAGGAAACTACAATGGCAGAAACATCCTTTATAAACAAAACAAGAGAATGTATGTCAGTGCTAGTGGGGCTTTTTGTAAATTCTGTTGCTAACAATTCATTTGCACGGATTCATGGATACCTATAAATTTAGCTGGTACCAGTATCCATAGTTGAGAACCTTGTGTGTACATGGAGGGACATGGAGGACATTCTGCTCAATTCTGCTACAATCTGAAGACTTCTCTAAAATAATATTTATGAGTTAAAGGGAAGAAAAAAAAAACAACCATGTTATAACTTATGGCAAGCAGGCAAGGACTGAATCTATCAATAAACAATTATAAGTGGCTGTACCTGACCCAGACTGGGGATTCCAAGAGAATTTAGAAGTGGTTCAAACAAGATCAAAGTAGATACCCATAAATGTAGTGCTGAGATCAGGGGTCAGAGCTGGGACAGTAACCCCATAAGTAAACAGGGTATCATTGTCTTTCCACATTTCTTCACTGGTCTCAGTTTGCAGCTGCTTCGTCATCTTAGAGATGCTTTCTGGAGCTTTTGTTATCTTGTTTACATTCCTGTCTGGAAACAAAAGGAAAATTCGGAAGAGGTGGAAGGACACTAGAAGAGCCCTCCCAGCAGAATCCTCTGTTTAAAGTGCTTTTGCAGAAGCAATACTCAAAGGCTTCTGCCTCCATTTCTCCCTGTGACCTCCGGGAACACCAGACAGAGTTTCACAGCTGGTCACACATCCATCTCAACACCCTGGGTGTTCTTTTGGTAGACCCTACATATGTGTAAAGAAACACACATTAGGATCTTTCAAACATTTGCTTTTCAGTCTTCAGCGTAATCATAGAGATTGCTTTTAGGTCTCTTTTTTCAGTACTGGCATGCTGACTTTCCCCACCCTTTGGAACCAATAATAGACTCTACATTCTTTTTCTTAGATTGTATTATGGTTGGTTGAGAAGGCCTCAACTTTTAATTTGAGCATTGGTAGACTTAGTGATCCTTTCAGCCTCTAGGACATCTGAAATTTTGAAAATGATACGAGGATGCTGATAGAAGACACCACCTTTGAAGTTGGTGTCAGCACAAAGGAATGTGCAACAACCCAGCCATATTTCTTTGGTTCTCCACAAGGATGTCATAAACACTTCTATTAAAGGCTTACTTAATTCCAGGTGCTGTGTTCTATATGTCCTGTTTTATATGTAAATTAGAATATATACAATGGAGCTGTTAGAAGCGATTCTGGCCATGAATATTTATTGATCTGAAAAACATGTACAATGTATTATTTAGATGAAACCGGGTTACATTTTCAGATGTGTAGTATGAACCTGTATTTGTTCACCTAATTCTAGAAAGGCTAACTTGTTTTAGGGTTATCTCAGAGTGATAGAATAATGGGGATTCTTTTCTTTTTCTTTTCTATCATCTATATACATCAATGCATCTTCTGGTACATTTGTGATTAAGGAAAAAAAAAACAAGAAGAAAAATTCATCTAAGTCAAGTCCAATGGAGGTTATCCTGCGCTACACAGTGAAAACCTCTATCAAAAAAAAAAAAAACAGCAGCAAATTATTAAAAAAGAGATTCTTGTAGAAATGACATGAGAGTATATTTACAAAGGATGAGAGTGAAAGCTAGATCAGGGACACTGATCATACAGCAATCTAAATGTGAATGGAGCAGACAAAGCAAGAAACATCAAGAAGTTAGAACTTTAGGGATGAGGATTGGGTGGAAGGGAGACATATACTGATTCCTGGCTATATAAAAATCCTGGATAAAAGTCATCTGCGGTTTTCACTTTATTTCTCCTTTGGAGAGACTAATTGCATGATGTGTCTACCAAATCTAGCTTTTTGTTTCTTTCACGTCAGGCTTTTTCTGAGTAGTCCTGGCTGTCCTGGAACTCACTCTGTAAACCAGGCTAGCCTTGAACTCAGAGATCTGACTGTCTCTGGGATTAAAGATATGTATCACCCCACCCTACTGGGCTCAAATCTGGTTTTTAAAACACAATGATGGGCCAGATTCGATGCCTAATGATCCATCCAAAACCCGTAGTTTTTAACCAAAAGCTATATACTTATACATATATACGTATATATGCATATTTAGTGAGGGTATATGTGTAAATATGCATAGTATACATATATACATTTATGTAAGTGAGCAGAGCTCGTGCCTCTCCTCTCTTGTCTCAGTTCCCATCAGCCTGGCTTGCTTTAAATGCAGGGATTGGGAAGATTTAGAATGGAGTGGATGACTTGAAGAGAAGATAAACACCCAAGTCGGTTTCTTTCTCCTCCTCCTCCCATGATCTCTCCAACACAAAGGCTCTAGTACAACTTCTGATATTTTCCCTCGGGGATTCCGAGGTGTGTTGAGAGAGACAGAGAAAGAAAGAGATGGGTTCAAGCGAGAGTGCACTGTTCTAGCTTTTTTTCTGCCTGACTCCCGGAGTTACAAAGCCTTGGTACAGCCTTTTATTTAGTCACTAGATTTTTAAGTGACTAGAGAGACAGGGTCTCACTATATACCTCTGCCCGTCTACTCACTCTGTAGACCAGGCTGGCCTCAAACTTAAATAGATCCTCCTGCCTCTGCCTCCCAAGTGCTGGGATTTAAGGTGTGCACCACCATGCCTGAGAGCAACATGTTTTAAAAGTTCCATAGATGAGGTTGGGATTAAATTTCTGGGTGCCCTAGTCTAGATCATAGATAATAGACGCCGAGGCTGGGATTCATATCTATGTCTTATTGAAGAATAAAGAGACATGGAGGCGAGGCCAGAAGGGGCAGAAAGTGAATCAAGACAATGCATTGTCTTTCTGGTCACTGTTTCCCTATGGGCTCAAAGAAACATGTCTTAGGAGTGCACACTATTTCATGGAACATGGCTCAAGATAGATGCCTGAATAACTGTTCTCTGAACAGTTGATGGAAAGGAGGAAGGGAAGACCCTGGGACCAAATCACTCTTCTTTAATTCTCCATTGTAGCACAACAAATGAAAAACCTCAATGGCTTACATCTTAGTGATTAGCTAACTGTTTTTTAAGTCAGACAACCAGTTACCCAGTGGCTGAGGTCTTTGTGACAGCAAAATGCTGACCTGGCAGAGTTCCTGTCAAGGCTCTGGGGAAGACACGGGTGCACTTTCAAACTTGTTCATGGCCTCCTGTTTGGACAGCCCTTGTTGGAGAACAATGATCTGTTGTGGGATAATCTTTTTGTACACTGTGATGATGTGTATTTAAAGAACTAAAGGCCAATAGCTAGGCAGGAGAGGACAGGAAGGACTTCTGGAAGGAGAGGGAAGAACTTTGGGAAGAAGAGAAACAAAGAGATGCCAGGGAGACACTGAGGAAGTAGACTTACAGAATGAGAGGTAAAGAGCCATGTGGAAAAATGTAGATTAATAGAAGCAGGTTAATTTAGGTTGTAAGAGCTAGTTGGGAACAAGATTAAGCTAATGGTCAAGATTTCATAATTAATAATAAGTTTCAGTGTCATTATTTGGAGCTGGCAGCCAAAAAGAAAATCCAACTACAATGGTTTGCATTTCCTTGCTGGCAGTTAGTCTAAAGCTGCCCCCAGCTCCTAAATGTAACTCATGATCCCAGTCATATATTCCCTCCATCCTTAGACTTGCAATAATGGATCACACACATCTTCCTTGTGGTTTTAATCTCTAACTTCAGCTGTTAAGATGAGGCACATATTAGGCACTCAATAAACAGATTTTGAAGGAACTATGAACTACATAGAAAATACACACGCTCCAGGTTATTTCTTAAAGGATTCTTTAATTCTGGATAAATTATACTTCTGAATCCTGGGAGAATAATAGGTGGCATTTCTGTAAAACCAAGTCAGTGTACATTCGATACACTAAAAACCAACCTTTGTTGAATAAATGAATTTATTTTGCTTGGTAATTAATTCTCCTATTTTAGAAGTAGGGAATTTGTCCAAATAATACAACCTACTATCTCCAACAAAAGCCTGACTTTGTGGAAGGCAGTCTTTCACTGCAACCCTGTAGAGAAACAAGCACAGGTGATTTTTTCTACATTTCACTAAATATTACACACGAAGAAACACAGTTGGGTTTGAGCCATGTAAACAAGCTCATTTTAAACATTTGAGATGTTTTCCAGCAAATATATGATGTAAGCCTCTAAATGCAAGAATATATGTTTTGCACTGGACTGTTTCTAAGTAGATTTATGTATGCACAAAATTCCATTTAGAAAATATTAGCTTGCCAGGCGGTGGTGGCACATGCCTTTAATTGCAGTACTCGGGGAGGCTGAGGCAGGTGGATCTTTGTAAGTCTGTGGCCAGCCTGGTCTACACAACCAGTTCTAGGACAGGCTCCAAAGCTACAGAGAAACCCTGTCTCGAAGAATAAAAAAAAAGGAAAGAAAGTATTAGCTATATTTTTGTGACCATGTACAAAGTCACTTTCAAAATACCTGGTTATAATAATTCCATGTGCCACAATAAATCCATAATTAATTCATTAAGTTACAAGACAAAATCTATAAACTATTTTTGATGTATGAATATATTAAAGTGTAAACATAAAGTGTAAATATTCTGGGTAAAGCTTGGGAATCTTGGCCACCTCATCGCAAATGAATCTTCCTTTAGTCAAAAGAATATTGAAGAGGTTTATTGCAGGATACTTTTCTTACCCTGTGTGATACATTTTATAAAGTTGCAACTATATAAAATTACCTTTGTCATAGTAACAAATTAATAATAATTACCAAAAGTTTGTTATGAACCAAATAATGCCTAGACAAAACTAGCAAAAGACAAAAATAAATGAGGTGATGGAAGTGCTACCTATCTTTGGTGATTATGCATGCAATTTGCATATAGTGGTGATGAAAGTAGAAAACATGGCATCACACATCTCAAGGTGAGTTGGAAGAACCTGAGCATCTGTTTTAGAAGCAACAGCATTGTACCTTGCATCCAGCATACTACTAAAATAAAAATGATTCTGCCTGCTATATTTTAACAGAGTGCTAAGACATCCTAAATTTTGAGTACCTTAACTTCTTCCTTCCTTCTTTCTCTTTCTTTCTTTCTTTCTTTCTTTCTTTCTTTCTTTCTTTCTTTCTTTCTTTCTCCTTTTCTCTCTCTCTCTCTCTCTCTCTCTCTCTCTCTCTCTCCTCTCTCTCTCTCTTTCTTCCTCTCTTTCTCTTTTGTTTTTGTTTTGTTTTTTCAAGACAGGGTTTCTCTATGCAGCCCTAGCTGTCTTAGAGCTCATTCTGTAGACCGGGTGGGCCTTGAACTCAGAGATATCCACTTGCCTCTGCCTCCAGAGTGCTGGGATTAAAGGCCTGCACTGCCTGGATACACCCAGATTTCTAAAGCATGGGGCTGAGGGTCTTAAAGCAATTTTATGTTGGTGCAGAGGATAAAATGAATGTGATTTGGTCTCAACTTTTCTATTGTAGTATATTTATTGCTTTTAAATGGTGTTCTGGGTCCAGTCTTTTGATTTTACCAACCACTAATGTGCCAACCTAATCTAAACACCAATCTAAATCATGTGTCACAGATCAATAGAATGTTTGTTGACATACACAGCTGATGTACTAATGTATGATTTGATAGTAGGTGAAGAAGAATGGGAACGAATTAAAGTGGACATAAACCACTTGGCAAAATATCAGACTGGGAAGGAATAGCTTAACCTGGAATGAATGACTACTACATAACAAGATATAGAAGAGTGAATGAATGATTGAGAAACTTAAATCTGGGAATTAGACTCCTCATATGTGACCAGGAAAGTGGTTCATTAAAAAGAAATGTGTAACTATTGAGCTTAATTAAAAGACCAGATAAAATAATACTTCAACAATAAAAGTATTGATAATTTAAAAAATGAAAACAAAATTTTATTCTTTGCCTGCATATATATATATATATATATATATATATATATATATGTTGCAACTTGAAAGGATTATGACACTGAAGGATGACAATGTTTAAGCCTAACTTAGATAAAAACCTAACACAAAACTCGTTTCTATTCTTGTCTCTATAAACTCAAGAGGGTTCAAGTCTGAGAACAAAATGCAATGAAAACAACTGACTGGATTTCCCAACTTTTATGTGTTTTTCTTAGATTCTAGGTTAATGAAAAAAAAACCACACACACATACAAAAAAAGTAACCCCCCCCCACACACACACACAAGTTGAAATCTCCTTCTTGCTAGCCTCTGTGCATTACAAACGAACAAAAATCCATGAAGATAATGGGAGTCTCAGTATAAAATTAGTTCGCTGAAATCCTGGGTGATTTCTGCCTAAATCCACCCCCAGAACCTTATCTGTCTGTCCTGCTGGCAAAAAGCAACCAAACATGTGCCAACATGTAAGAATGTCACCACACGGAACGCGCGCGCGCGCGCACACACACACCCTGCAAAACTTGGCAGCCAGGAAATGTCAGTGCAGTTGTTAGAAGGTGAAATTTCAGTCCCTTTGATGAAGATACTATCTTTCAACCAAGCCCTGACAAAACCTTTGGTGCCAGTTAGACCGCCTCCCTTGCTGTTCAGTGGCTGGACCCCATCTGGAGGTATGGGGGCTCTTCCTCTCCTACAGAGCTAAGCGTTCCCAGACCCACCGCCAGGCCTGAGTTCCTGCAGACCGCTCAGCGTACAGAGAAGTGTCCCAACCTGCAAAGGGCAGCTAGAAATGGATTTAAAATGGCAACGCCAACCAATCAGCACTGTCGCTCCCAAGCAGACATTTACACACGCCTCAAGTACAGCAGAACGTGGCAAAGCCTAGTTCCCAGCGTATGGCTGCAGAGTAGGCATCTTTATTCCTCGGTGTTCTGTATCCTTGTAAGAAGAAAAAAAAAAATTCTTCATTGGGTGAACATTTTTATTTTGGAGTCAATCCAACACAATTTTGATGTGTGAAAATGTGAACACAAGGTCTTTCTTTCTTTCTTTCTTTCTTTCTTTCTTTCTTTCTTTACTTCTTTCAGTTTTGTGTTATTCAAGGATGAAAAAGAGTTACATTTGAGAACATTCTCCACCTTTTAAAAACTGACTGTGGTCATGATGGTGTTCACATAACCCACAAACAGTCCAGGCTATAAAATTAGGACTTGGCAGAAAGGAATTCTGAAGGAGAAGGTTACATGAAGGTAAACAGAAGGAAGAGTTAGCAACTAGTGCAGTTGTGGAGAAAACAATCTCTAAGGTCTCTATCTTCTGTGGGTGTCTGAAGATGGGGTTACAGCGCCAGCTACAGTAGTCATTCCCAGAGGAATAAAAAGCCCGATGGAGAAACTGGCGCGCTCCGTGTTCCTGTGTGCAGCGTGCAAGTGTGTGTATTTGTTGTGAATGTGCTTGCTGAACCATCCCTATGCCTGGAAGTGTGCGTAAGCACGCGTTTGTTAGCCTGAGTTTATCACTGGACGGTGCATGTATGCACGTGCATTTGCGTGCAAGTGTGTGTTCGTTCACACGCATGGGCTCATGCATCTTAGGTGCATACTGTGTTTGTGCACCGGCCGCGCTCTCTGGGGTGAAGGCACCTCTCAACCAAGCCCTGCTGCTGGGGTGGGGTGGGGTGGGGGCCTCTCCGACTCCTTGGCCGCCCTTTCCCGGGGGCTGAACTAGAAGGCGAAGGCGGTTGGCCCTGAGTGCTTCCGGACACCTCTGGCTCGCTGGGTGGAAGCGCAGGTAGTGGCCACGCTCCCTAAGGTGGCTTTGAGAAAGTCATTTTCTCTCGCCTTCCCAGGGCAACCGCCCAGGGGTGACCTCGGACGGCGACAGGGACTAGATCGGTGGCGAGCTGGGCTGGGGAGCCTAGGCCCTGTCTCTTTAACCCCACCACCGGGGGGAGAGAAATAGAACTGAAATGACACCAAGAAAGAGGGCCAGACAGCTGAAGGGGAAGGCTGCTGTCTCTGAAGGGCATGAGGATGAATGCCCACATCTCATTGCCTCATCACCACTGAGCAAGGAGTCCAAGACTTTCAGAGAGGAAGTCTGAAGAGTCTTAATCAACATAGAATCTTGAGTGTTACACTTCCTCCAGAGCTGGTGAAGCAGAGTGTGAAAGGTTAGCTGAAAAACCAGTAGAAACCGATGACCGGAAGCCGACTGGAGAAACGAGAAGCAAATGTGTTTCCCAGTGGTGGAGGGAAAACACACAAAATATTGAATCGAGTTAGGAAGCAGCCAGCTTTGGGGGAGACTAATGTACTCCTAATATGCAGCTTTTAATTAATTTACTTTAATTCTGTTTTCAGCCACCTTTGGTCTTTTTTGGACCAAGGCCGGCATATACAGAAATAAACCTCTTTAGTCTATGAAGTAAAATAAAGGCGTCAGCTCAGTGAGTCTAACTGAAACACTCTGTGACACTCTGTGAATAAGTCATTCCTGTTCTCATCCCCCTTCTTTTCTTCCTCCCTCCCTCCCCCCCTCCCCCCCCCCCTCTCTCTTCCTCTCTCACGCCCTCCCTCTCTCTCGGGAGAGGAGGAGGAATTCTTTCCCCGCCTAACATTGCAAGGGACACAATTCACTCCAAGTCTCTCTTTCTAAGCCGCTGCCCAGCGTTCCCACTGCCTGCAATTCCCGATCCTTAGCCGAGTGAGGAGCCCTCTCCACCTTCAACTCTCCCTCTCACTCGCTTCTCCCTCCCTTTCCCTACCTCCAC